AGCTTTTTCGCATGACTGTATATAAAAACAAATCAAATAATATATATAATTAAAAATTAATTACAATTAATTGTAATAATAGTTTGAATTAAAATAAATTAATAGTATAATATTTGTTAAACATATAACACAATTTTTATAAATTGTTTGTTTTATCTAATTATTTAATTATAATTAAATATATTAATAATAAAGCTTTTTTATTATATAATTATACAAAATATACAAAAAAAATAATTTATATTAATAAATAATAATTTATTATATTATTTATATATAGTTTATTTTATTCAAGGGTATATCACTCATTCTATTATACTATTAGTTTGTAGTTGTTTTTAATAATTAATATAGTTTTGTTATATCAAAATATATTGTTTATCAAATGTTATTTATTTGAGATGAAAATTATGTACTATTTTTATTATATATTTTATTATTATTAATATTACAACATTATATTTTTGTTATATTGTTATAGTTTATATGTTTGTATATTTATTATAGTTGTATAATAAATTATTTGATTAATTATTTAATTTATATACTATTAAATTTTTTTAATTTATTATTATTATTATATTATATTATTAACCATTATAAAAAACAATTAAAAAATAAAAATTATTATAACCATTTTATTAAAAAAACTATTAAAAACAACTATATTATTATAATGTTTTTATTATATATAATTTGTATATTTTAATGGTAAATATACTATTTAATATACCATTAAAAAAGTAAGTATGAGGGGAGTTTTTAAACAACTTTTATAAAAATTGCCAGAAATATTTTCAGTGCAAAAAAGCAAAAAATACCGAGCCATGACCACAGTTTTTAAAACGCCGATTATTGAAATAAAAAAAGGATAAATGAAGTTCGTTTTAACCAAATAAAAGTGTTCATTGAATTGCTTAAATGCGGTAAATAGAATGAATAAAATGACAATATTAATTGTTTAGTAAATACGTTGTACTGGTTATTCAAATATGAGAATATTTTTAATTTGTAATAAACCAATAAAAATCTTCAAAAGATTAAACTCTGAATAGTTTTAGTTTATTTTATTAATTCTTATGTTGTTGATTTAACCTTTACTTGTCACAACTAAAATTCGTACAATTCGTTAGTGTTGTTCTCAAAAATGCCTTTTGTCATTTGGGAATCTGAAAGGTATATTGAATTTAGTATTCAAAAATTGATACAAGATATAGAATATAGCCATAATTACAACTTTATTGAATAACACCATAAAGTTATCTTTAAGTTTTGGGAAGAGCCATTTTTTCTTTTCACCCAAATCCTTAACAAACAAGGACTTCCAGATCCTTCAAAATAGCTTGATGTTCATGGTTTTAATTTAAATCATAGTTAAAATGTAATAGTAATGGCGTTATAATAAATAACTGTTTCAAAACATAAAAGTGTTAATTCAAGTTTTACTTAACGTGTTATTTTTGAACTTTTAGAAAATATCAACTAATGTTTTCACTTGAACACTGCCAAAAATTCACTAATTTTTAATAATAAAAAGTGAATACTTGATTCATCTGCATTATATTGAAATTATATTTGAAAAAATTACTATATTTTAAATAATCTCACTGGCACAATAATTCATTCAAAAAATATACCTTTTTATTTTTATTGATTAACACTTCAAAAAATAAGCTCTAAATAACAAATTTAAAGATTATTTAACTCTGGTTTCAAAGTTTAAGGTATCTTAATATAATCTACTACGCTTTTTAAATGGGATATTAACAAAGACTTGATGATACCCTCTCCACATTCACAATACTCAATTAGAAATAATATTTTTTTTCAAAATTTCAATTGTTTTTCATTTCGTTTTTGAATTATTTAAATAAAAATATTCTACTATTAAAGTTAATTCATAAAAAATATTTTACTTTATATTTTAAATTAACATGTTGTCTAACTTTAACTCTTAGTAAAACCCAAACAACCAGGGTTTTTCAAGTTCCAGTTTTTTGTTTAAGACGTGGCAAAAAATAAAAAATATCACATAAAACTTATCTTTTTCAGTTAAAAAATTTAAACCAATTCATTTTCAATTACAAATCAAAATGGTAAACACGTGGCTGAAAAATATAAAACGACACTTAAATCAAAATTATTTGACTTTTAACCTTAACTATTCTAATCAAAGTTTTTCAAGCCATAATAAATTTTATTTCAATAAAAATAAAACAATAAAATCACTGTAACATTATAATCTGTTATAAAGTTGCGTTTTTTAAATAATGTGATTAATGTTACAACTCAAACTATATGAATAAAAATTTTAACAACGAATTCATAATTTATTTAAAAAATCAAAATTAAACACTTTATTATTTAAAAAACAATATCAGATGACTTTTTGAATATATAACCTTAATAAATCAATTCTTTGCATGATCAAATCGAGTTTTTTGGAAACCGTTATTCTTAGCTTATTTGCTAAAAACACATGGAAAGTATCCGGATTATATTTGGAATATAAAAAATGTTCAGTTATTTTCTTGTTTTTTAAATTTTAAACGATTATTTGTGTATTTATTTTATTTACGCAAAAGTGGCAACTGTGACAATTATTAAGAACAAATTCATGTTTGTCAAATAATCACATTTCAACAACAAATAATACAAAAGGTTTTATATTTAACAACGATTGTTGTACTCAAAAATCATTTAACAACGACACGTTTCTTTTTCGATTAAGATTATAAGTTTGTAACAACACATTTGTTGAAAGTGTATTGATTCAAAGATTGTCCCAATATTATTTGTAAATATCAATAAAAACATTGATTAACATATGAAACTTATCAAGAATATCAACACGATGAAAAAGTTGAATTATATGTTTACTTTTCGAAATATTATTTAAAAAGATATTATATCAAATCATTACAATCGGTTGTTAAAAAATATAGAGTGTTTATAATAAATGTAGTGTTATTTAGTCTCTTTACAACGTTGATATCGTAACTAAAATAAATACACCCACTTAACAATATCTTAAATGGTTTGAAAAATAAGTCTTAAATGTCGTTTTGTTTTTTAGAAAATAAAAAAATGAAGAAACAAAGGTATTTTGCCTTTTTTCTATTTTTCGGCATAAACACAATATCTTTTACAAGTTTGTTGAATTTTTAGTTTTTTTTGAAAACCATCCTGGTTTGGTGGACCCCGCAAACAACAATAATTGAACTATAAGTTTAAATTGTCATTAATTTATTTGTTTTTTTTATCAAACGTTTAAAATACTCATTATATAACTCTATGTTTTTAAAGGCTGCACCTTCAATTGAAAAACTCAATATTCCAGTTTGGCTGAACTTTTTTTTGTGTTGAGAACAATACGTCAAAATTATTAAAGACATACCATTCAACATAATAACAAAATAAATGATTTATCTGAACAAAGCGATGCAAAACAACACAATTGCCAACAACACGCAGCATATCACGAAGAATGGTCCATATGTTTTCAGTATTTCCTTACTTGACACGTACTTACTTTGTGTCGCGATTAACCACAACATCGACAATGTACCCCAATTCGTTTTATTCTGATAGCGCACTTTACTCAAGACGTCACCAACGTGTTCATGGCAGTTCTGAATGATCAACAAGTGTTGTAAGCTTTGGTACTTCTTATTCATTTCATCAATGGCATCGTCATACTCCTTATCGCTCACTCCCATCAATTCAATTGGGATATATTTCTTCACACTTCCAAAACAAGTCGTCTGTCTTCTTTTCCCAATCGAGTATGACCCTTGAAAGTCGTATATCCAACCGTTAGAGTCTCCAATGCCCGTATGTCCCACAAATGGGATGAACCACCTGTTTATTATTTATTGTATAGTAAAAATATTATATATTAATAATTAAAATTTTATTATTATTTTATTAATAATTTTACTAATAATTGTATTATATTATAACAAACGATATTAAAGGTATAGTCGACCATACAACACAATATGGAAAATACTTTTCATTCGGATTAGCTTCTTTTATATTGAATGGGTCTGTTCTATTTGCGTCGTCCACTGGGACTTGTTCGTCTTCCCTTACAATGTCCATAATTAAAATTATTAGTACCTTTTGTTATTCAGTTTCCATCTTAAATTGAATACTAAATTCCCCAAGAACAAACACAATTTACAAAAACATTAAATAACATTTAAATTAATAAGAAGACTGGTCAGTCGAGATCTCATTGAATATCTTTAAAGACGTCGACAATGGTATCTGCATAGTCTGTTCTGCTGACAGCTCGCAT